ATTCGAGGATTAACGTACAAAATTGAGTTAGGAAGTCAATTGTGTCCGTATAACTGATGAGTGTCATTTATGGCACTCATAGGGTAGTCTTTTAGGGTTATTTATTTCCCTTTTTCATGCTTTCTTCTCTTATTTTTGGTCCTTTTTCCTTTAGTATTCTCTTTCTCCTCTTTTCTTTATGGTTCTCGTGTTTTTCTCGTGTTTTCCTTTTATTTGGCTCTTTTTCCCTTTTATTTCCTTTCTTTGTTTTCTTGTGTAGGTACTTGAAGAATCATCTTTGCAAAGGAATCAAGTTGGGATCTTAATGACCAAGCAATGAAGAAGCATTTGGCTAGAGAGGGCTTAGAGAGGCCTTGGAGAGGCCTCGGAGAGGTCTCCAAGGTATTGCCAGCAGACCGCGGGCGCGGGTCAGTGAAGCTGCGGGCGCGGGCTCAAGAAGCACAAATGGCCAGATTTTGGCAGGAACTTCCCGCGGTTGCCCCGCGGGCTCTCCGCGGGCGCGGGAAACTTGGAGAGGGCGCTCCGTCTCAGAGAGACTGCGGCCCCCTGATTGAGTTTTGGGAGCAGGAGATTAGCCGCGGGCGCGGGTTTATACTGCCGCGGGCGCGGGTGTTGCCCAGATAGCCCGCGGAGGGTTCCGTACCCATTTCTCCGCGGCCGCGGGTTCATCGGGAGAGGGCGCAGGATTTGCCGGTTTCTTCTTTGCTTATAAATAGAATTGTAATTCCTTTTTGAAACCAACTTTTTGATAATATTTCATTAGCTTAGTTTTAGAGAGAGAATTTAGAGAGAAGTTAGAGAGAAGTTTTTGGTTTTGGATTTGTAACTCAACATTTGATCAATCAAGTTTGGATTTCTTCATTTTCAATCATCAATATTAGTGAGAATCTCTTCCTTCTTTCATCTCTTACTTACTTGCTATTTGATTTATGCTTGTTGCTTGTTTTTTTTCTTTGGATTTGAATTTTATATTGTTGAATATTTTGATTTCTCTTAGATTTTGATATAGAATGATGATCAATGCAATTTCTAGTTATTTGTTCTTGAATTTCACCATGATTAGTGAGTAGATTAGTTGCTAGGGAAAGGGGGAAGCATGTTTGATTAATGAAATTGCTAGTTGATGCTCTTTGATTGATTGATTTGTTGCAATTAAATTGGTTGACATAGTTTTGCATGTGATTGATTAGACTAGGAGTGATCAACCTATAAGATTAATCTAGATTGCATTGCAACTCTTAATGACATGAACAATTGATTTAAAAGTTGCTCTAATTGATTGGGTTTGCTTGTGATTCTTCTTGATTTGCCTTTCATAGTGACTCCTAGATTGGCCTATAGGAGATAACATTTGAACTCTCTTGATTGCTACTATTGTTTGTCCATTGCAATACTTGAATTAATTGATTGAGCTCTAAACTAGCATTATCATTGAACTTGCATGTGGAACCCATATCGCTAGTGTTTAGACCTTTGATTTACTTGATTAGACTTGTTTTAGTTTACCATAGTGCCAACCATAATCTCAACTCCATCATCGAGGTAGCTTGACTTAGACTCTAGTTTTCATCATTGCATTCCCTAGGGATCGACCCTTAACTTGCCCTATATTCATATAAGGTTGGTTAGGTGTTTACAAATTTAGTTTGACTTGGGGGAAGGGTAGATAACGACATACATTTTCCTCTTGTCAATAACATGTATTATTAGCAATTAAAAAGACAAACAAACAATTATTCAATTTACACCAAACTAGATTATGTTAAGTCGATTGTATATTTAATGCACATGTAATTACTAATAATGTGATCACTTGATTAAGCAACATAATTATTGAGATCCTAACTAGTTGTCCATAATTATCTTCTTAGGCGTGATATTTAAATACCATTCTTTATTAGCCTGCAGTATTGTGATTAAACAAATAAAGCAATAAAAATCATATATAGCACGAAAAACATGTAACAAATAAAGATATCAATGCCCTTAAAGGTAATTTTTTGTTTTTATTTTATTTATTTTTTGTAAAATAACCATTATCAAAAGCTAATACAAACAACTAGATAGACCAACTAGAGGTGTTAAAAGTACACATGACCTGACCATCGACCCAAAAAATATCCAATTTAGAATTCGACTCGCATGGACATAATAATTTAATATAACTCAACTTTAAAAATTGTCCTGACGACCCGAACATCTAAATTGACACCTCTAAGGCCCTATTTTATTTTTGTTGAACTGATATGATTTTTACTGAGTTGAAATTATTTTTACTGAACTTAAACTATTTTTAGTGAAATGAAATTATTTTTTTTTACTGATTTTCTATTATATTTATTCTTTAAGTTTACTGAAATTATTTTATTGAAATGAAATTATTTTTGCTGAACTGAAATTATTTGTATTAAATATTTCGTATTATTTTTTTAAAGGTAAAGTGAACAGGACTTAAGACCAGTCAAGAGAAGCCAACAATCAATTGCCAAATAAGGCTAATATGTCCCACATAAGATATGAGTTAAATACAAAATCTAATATATATAAATAAAGTAGACATTTTTGGAGAGCATTGGGAGCGTCATGTAAGCAAAGGTATATTTTCGACCAATAAGAATTAAAAAAATTCACACGCCACCTAGATAAAAGTGATGAATTAGATTCGATATATCTCTGATTTTAATGCCATGTAGATAATTATCTTAAATCATTAAAAAAAATAAAAAACTATCTTTTCACATTAAAGATTTTATCATAAAAGATCATATTTACAATTCTATGATAATAAATATCATTATAAAATATGGCTTGATTTCATCATGCATGTAAGTTTTGTATTGGTTGTTGACTGACCATACAAAAAATTATGATTCATAAATTACTTTGCCATGTTTAAATTAGACGTTAGTTTTGACGTCATGTGATGTATAAAACTCATGTTATAATTTAATAACATGTGGTTTAATTTAAAAATCTATTTATAATGGACCTAATCCAAAATAAAATATCATAATTTTCAATATTAGGATTTGATAATCATAACTATCAATATAAGATAAAATTTATTTTAATAATAACCCAATAAAATAACATATCTACCATTATACGATAAATTTTGATGGTGCTTACAATAATAATTATAAATTATTCGTTAATTGTAATTAAAGTAAAATTTGTGATACCTACCATTAGAAATTGACGCATCATACATCACCAACAAAATTCCGCTTAGCTTTTTAAAAAAAATTTATACTTGTATTTGTTACGTACATTGTGTTTATTTTGGGATTTATGTTTGTTTTTTGTTTTTACATACGGATCAAATTTAATTAGAGAATTAAATTAAAGCAAAACTGATTGGAAAATCAAAGTACGTGTTTCTCGCCTGTTTGACGTATTGAATTTTCGCAAACTAGATAGCTTAATAAGTTTGGATATGGTCCTATTGGACGAGGAGGTATTTCTTATAAAATATTGACCTCTATTAAATTTTTAATTGAACCTCTTTAGTTTTTATTATAACTAATAACTTAATTTCTTATTTTTAATTACAGGGTGATTACATTCACGCCTCAATAAAATCTAACTTTGTTCAACCCTTTCGTCCGAAATTGATTGAAGGAAAAGTTTACACCATTAGATACTTTTCAGTCGTTCCAAATAAGAATCAATATCGCATTGTCAGTGACAACAAAATAATGATTCAATTTTTTCAAAACACTATTGTCCGAGCTATTGGAGATGATGAAAAAATACCAATGCATAAATTTGATTTTATACAATTACATTCTTTAGATCAATTTCGCAACAATTATTCACTTCCCGGTAAATATATTGGTTTATTTTATCTAAATGTATAGATTGTTTTATATCAATTTTATTTTTTCTAATATTTCAGTGTTGTACTTTTATATTAGACGTAGTAGGTATGGTTGTAAACGAAATTGGTGATTCTATCGAAATAGAAGATAAATGGTATGTATGTTTTTTTTTAATTTTTTAAAATAATTCTTCTTACGTATATTTATTTAATGTGTATCTAATATTTTTTTTTGTAATTAGGGGGAAACGAGTACAAATTAAGCTTTGGAATAAAGTTTTTACTGAGTATACAAAACAGAAAACCAACTCAATGATTTCACTAAACCTTTTCCTATTATAATAACGTCAACGATGGTGAAAGAGTTTAATGGTAATTTTAGTTTATTGTTGTTTATTATTTTACTAATTATTTTTCTATCTATTCATTTTTTATTATTACTGAATAACATATAATTTAAAATTAGGGATAAATTTATTACCATTAGTTTGTTAGTGTGTTACTACCGATAATTCTTAATTGATGTACACGGAAATATGGATTGGAGTAGGATTAGCTATACTTTAATACATGTGCAAGTACTTGGAACATATACTGGTGGTACTAAAGAAATAGTTGAGTCAAATAAACCTATTTAATTTTTAATTAATTTTTTTTGTCGGAAAAAAAACACGAGAGCATATTTTTAAGTAAATTAATTAAAATAATCAATACAAGTGTTTCCTTCAAAAAATAATATCCAAACAAATTAATAATAAAAATAATAATACAAAATAATAATACGGAGTAGTAATAATAATAATATTTCAAAAAATAATAAAAAAATACTTTCTCTGTTCTTTTTTACTTGACCTGTTTCTTTTATCACGCTTGTCAATGCAAAACTTTGATGATCAATAACTTAAATTCTCCATAAGTAAAAATTATAAAAGTTATATATTATGATAGTACTTATTGAGACGAATCCAAAAAGATCATACATGAATATGTTTTTCCTTACATAGTATTTACAAAAGACGGTCAAAGGAGGGATGATGAATAGTGTAAAAGTCAAAGCGGGTCAAGTAATAAAGAACGGAGGAAGTATAAATTAACCCGTGCATTGCACGGGCTTCACACCTAGTATCTGATATATTAAGCTATTGTAAAATTATACCTGAATTTAATATGCGAAAAGTCAATTGCACATGGTTAACCCTTAGAAATTCCCAAAATTTAATCATAATCTACTCTCCAATTCACAATTGTGTTTGTTTATGCGCAAGCCTAAGTAGTAGAAACCGTTGCTAAGCTTACAAAAAAGCTTACAATTGACAACTTAATTATATTTCCTCATTTCGTCAACTCTACTTTCTACTCAACACAACTTCCACTTTGTTCAACCTCTAAGATTCTTCCCCTTTGATTTTGATTTAGTATCATCACAATTATTCGAATTTCTTGCTTGTTTGTTTTTTTTTATGATCCCTTTTTTGTGCTAATTTCATCCACAGTTTTACCGATGAATTCTGCTGCAGAAATCAAGCACCCCTTTTCTTAATTAGGGTTTTTAGCAATCGAATTGATAAAAATGGAGAACTGACCAAAATTCTTCTTCGTGGTAGAGAATTTTGAACTGGAAAAGAATCAATTTGAAGAATAAAAAAATGGCATCTGCAAAAACAAATTTGGTTATGACAGTGATTGGATTTGTAGTTAGCACTTTGTTTATAGTGTTCATTTGTACTAGACTCATCTGTGCTCGGATTCAATTACGCGCTTCTCGTCGAAATTTCCGTCGCCATTTTGCGTCGTCTAGATCTAATCTCAGTACTGTAAGCAAACATCTTTTTCCCTCCTTTTTTTGTTTTGATTTGTATATTAATCATTCATTCATTGATTTGAAGTGTCGGATTTCGAGTAACATCGTCGCATCTGAAGTTGACTAGATATTGGGTTTTGGCATGAGTATGTCTTTCTTTCATTCAAAAGGAGTCTTGCTTTTTCAATCATTGTGGATTTTTTTTACTTACTATTTTGAGTAAATGAATTTTAGACCATGATTGGTTTATAGTACTCTTTTGGGTTGAAAATGTTTAAGCTTATGACTTTGTTTAAAATATTTGATTGATGATTGGAATAATTTGTTCAATTTGCTTGATTAATTAGATGAAAATTATAAACAGATGAATAAACATCCTTTTTTGTTTGCAGTTGGAGCGGGGGGTGCACGGTGTTGACCCTCCGATTGTTGCCAATTTCCCGGCGAAAAAGTACGGTGACGCTTATTTTTCCTCGGCTGAAAGTGGACAGTAAGCTCTTTAATTTTATGATTTTTTTTTTGTCTGTAACTGGGATATTTTTGCTTGTTTTTTTATGTTTAAATTTTGGAGATTGATGACATCATAAAGATTTACCATTGAGTTCTCTTGCAATTAGATTTCCATCATTTGTATATCCTATTGAAACAAGGGTTCTTTATAGTGATATGAGTACAAAACTTTCCTTTGTGTTTGCTAATTCTTGTGGTTTTACTGGTGACCGATTTCGGAATTTGAAACATTATATACCTCTTTAGACTATTAGACTTAGTGCTCCATTTCCAAACACTCTTGCTATATACTCAGTTTGTTTGATAAGTGGGGTGAGCAATGCATCAATACCGGATATCACAGGTTTCACATCCCAATTATTATGTTTTGAATCTAATCTGATTTAATCAGACTGGTCAATCAATTTAATTGTTCATCTTATTTGAATCAGAGTTGAGCAAAAAGGATAGGCAATAATGATAACCTTGCAATTAGCTTTGAGTTTTTAATAGATTCTTTGGCACTAGGTTTTATTGCTATATATACCTATACTAAAGCAATATGTGCTTAAATTTTAATATCTTGTCAAAGCTATTTCTTTTTTCTTCTCCTTAGATTTACCTAAAGCAATTCAATTTAGGAAGTCTTTTTATTTCTTTTGTCCTTTTCCTATATTTTAGGAAATTGTTCAGCTGTTGTACATTGATTTTTTTTTTTAATATTATACATTGAACTTCAATAAGTGGATAAAAATGGATTATTTTATTTATTGTTGTTTCTCCTTCCAAAATAATTTTTTTTCTCAATGTTATAGATTATACATTGAAGTATTATACATTGGACTTCAAAATAAATTTTCTCAATGCTATTATGAATAAATATAAAAAATTGCTCCTTCATATTTAGTGAATAGGTTGTCATATTTCTCATATTGGTTATTATAAGTCTAGCATCGCTTAGGGATTAACTAGAATGTAACTATTATTCCCTCTTTTTTTAAAAAAATAATTTATTATTTTCTTACTTATTCTTCATATAAAATGAAGTAGTAAGTGAAAGTTGGGTAGAAAGTTCTATAGAAACTTGGTATTATGAAATAAATTTATGTGGACCATGTGGGCGGGTAAGGAGTGATAAAAGTGGAGATTTTCTTTACCATAAAAAGAATAATATAAAAATAAGAAGATCAAAATAGAATGTACCAAAACAGAAAGTAAGAAGATTAAAAAGGAATAATGATAATCATATGAAACCTTGCTAAAGACAAATCATGCTAATTTTATTGTTAAAGGTTTTTTTCCCCCCTTAGATCTTTCAATTTCATCATCCATTCAGTATAACTAGGGCAGCTGGAGAGTTTTTTTGGGTTTGACATTATGTTACAACTTTAGTTTTTGGTAGTATTAATGATACAAAGTAAACAATATTTTGTAGGGATATAAACATCATCATAATATACTTAAGAGTTAAAAAAAATGCAATTAACATTAACAAGGAAAAATAAATAAATAAATATTTTAGAGGGTATAATTGTCTAGAACGGGGGAAGTATAACATTACTTCACTATTATAAGATTGCTGTAGTTGTAATATTATTTATTGATTTCACTTTGAGAAAAATATAAAGTGAAAGTTGGATGTCGACAACTATGGGTGGCCTAGGTACCTCATAATGTGAAATGATATACATGAATTTCTCTAGTGTTTGCTTAGAGCTCACCTGATTAATAACTTTTATTTAGTATTGGTTAATTACACTTTAGACAATTTGAGATTTTGTGTGAATTTATGAACATTTCAATTTTGAAATTTAGATGCAATGACATTTAATACAAGATTTTGGACGTCATAAAAATGATGTTTATATTTTGGTGTCTTTTTTTGTGTTTTTCTTTATTGATGTCTGATATCATCGTTTGATGTCTAGTTTTGTTTTAAATGACAATTTTGCTAAAATAAGTATGCAACAGGCATTAAATCTATTAAAGAAAATTCACTGCATTCTCATTCACAACGATTGATATGGAATTATAAGCTCCCAAGAAAAATAAATCATGTTAAATTTAAGCAACTAATGCAAGAAACATGGAGTAATTGGCTAAGTTAGTGTCACCAATTTTTATCCACTTCTCATTATTGAACACATGCTTAATGATTTAAAAATAAGGAAAATAACTACCCACTAGTTGTGATTAATTTGAAGCATAACTTCATTATTAAGAACTTCTATTCATTATCTGATGACATAAATACATGCTCATCATTTTGGAACCAACAATATGTTGCCAAGCGGCCAAATTTATGACATCTAAAGCATTTGGGCTTACCTTTGTGCTGACAATCTTTTTCCTTGTGACCATCCTTGAGACAATGGTTACATTTATGGGTCTTTCCTTTCCCCTTTCGATACAAGGACTTGTCTTATAGTGCACTTTTCACCTTTTAACCATCTTCATTTCCCACGAATTTCCTTGATACATAACATGAAGTAGACTGTTCAACTCGCACATGTTAACTTTGCTAGGTCCTTTTTGTCTCAAAGGAGGAGTTTTTTGATTTGTACCTTTCGGGAGAGTAAAAATAATAAAATCATATCCATCGGTCCACTGCTCTTTGGCTAGTAAATTTTTTTACTCTTTGACACTTACAATTCTTTTCACTCGCAATATCTTTCCCTCTTGAGATTTATGATTTGCATTAATCTAGTTTGATCGTTTCTCTCGAATCCCTTCAATTCCTCCCCTACCTTTTTGGGAGTTTCACAACCCCTATCAGTAGACACAAAAGTGGCTTTGCTATAGCTGCTTCTATTTCATCATGCTTTATTTTTTGGGCTGCACATGGATCTTGTGTTAAAGGAGTTGGGGGTACATCGCTCACAATTCCTTCCCATAGGCTCAAGGCTTTAAAGTATGAGTTCATTTTGATAGCCCATGAATGAAAGTTCTCTCATTTGAATATGGGAAAGGAAGTCCAAAGTTGTTTGATGCCATTGGATAAACGATGGAAGATAAACATATGCTATATTTTTCCCTTTAAAGGCTCACAAGATTGAATGTCTTGATACAAATTTTGTTAGGGATTAGAAAGCAAAAGAATGCAATTTGAAAATATCACTGCATGACTATTCACATGAAAAGACAAGGTAACAACTAATTATATAAATTGTCAACATTACTAAATCATCCTGAAACTAATTATGGAGTAAGTGGCTAAGTTAGTACCACTTAATCTACTTCTAATAAACTGCATACATGCTTATGATTAAATAAATACGAACATGACTAATAACACCAAATTTAAGGAAACTAACAACCTACTAATTATAAGTAATTAGAAGCATAACATCAACAAATGGAACCACTTAAAATACTTGATTTTTTATTTCACATTTTTAGGGTTTAATATAAGTTTTTCAGGTTCCTTTTTAGTTTTTAGATGTTTGATATCGTCTTTTGAAAATCTAGTGTCATTTTTAAATAATAGTATAATTACTTTATATAAAAATATTTTGACATTTATTGTCATTTATTAAGTACTCCCTCCATTATTTTTTTTTTCTAGCTACCTACTGTCCTTTTATGTTAGTTTTTTTTGTTCTACCTACCTACCCCTTTTACCCCAGAATAATTACACATTCCGCACATTCTTTCTTACTTCGTTCAACTTTTTACCACCCACCTTTATACATTCTCTTTCTTACTAATCCTACTTTATCTAACACTCGCTAACCTTTTTCAATATTTTTCTTAAACTATGTATCAAAAATAATTTATTGAATAGAACATAAAAGTTTGAAGGGTGTGTATAATATCAGCTTTTTTTTTTATAAATTTTGATATTATTTTTTGGAAAACAGTTTATTATCATGTAAAAGGGAAATGCATTCTAATATGATATTCGAACACTAACCCCGCTTGGAATCTCTATTTCTGTAATATTGTATAATAATTCCTTTTTATAACTTTTGCAATTTAATATTATAAAGGAAAATTTGCAAATTGCAGCCATTTAAAGTTCGTATTTTGCAAATTACAGCCATTTAAATTTGTTTTTGCAAATTGCAGCCCAAAAGTTCATATAAATTGTAAATTGCAGCCCGATTCAACTTTTTCATCGGTTTACAAGTTGAAAAATCTTCGATTAAGGTTTTAGGGGCCATTTTAGCCCTTAGGGATCCGAATTTAGTTCGGAATTAGCAAAAAATAACGCAAGTATCTCGTTTTGCGTAATAAAAGTGTAACGATTTGCGGGGAAACTGTAAATATGAGACACTTATGTTATTTTTTTGCTTATTCCGAGCTCAATTCGGGCCCCTTAAGGCTAAAATGACCCCTAAAACCTTAAGTGAAGATTTTTCAACATGTAAACCGAAGAAAAAAATGGATTAGGCTGCAATTTACAATTTATACGAACTTTTGGGCTGCAATTTGCAAAAAAAAATTTAAATGGCTGCAATTTGCAAAATACGAACTTTAAATGGCTACAATTTGCAAATTTTCCTATTATAAAAGTGACTTTTTTTTAAAAAAAATTCTTGGAGGAAGATTTTTGTGGATAACTATATGGAATAATCACTTTGATTTATGTAGCCAACCCCACTTATGGGATTAAGGTTTTGATTGATTGATATTATTCTTATAGTCAATTTTTCTTCATTATTTTGTTTAATTTATATTTTGTTACGTTAAAATTTTTATTTTTACATTTTTTTGGTTTTTTTGGTAATGTGTACAATAAAAATGGGTAGATATTCTAAAATTCACATCATAGATCAATATGTTAACAAGAATAAAGTGAGATGGCGTCCAATTTAGATTTTCCACTCAACAACACCTCCAAAACCATAACAAATCTAGAGGGATGCATCCGAAAATTACCGAATTTCTGAAAACCAGAAGAATAAGGATGCATCCGAAGGATAGAGAATTACAAATTGATTGTGAAACTGTTTGCCAACTTTAGATTTGGAATTGGATTGTTGTTTTCAGTTTGTATTCCTTTTTTTTTTCTTTTTTCTCTCACTCTTTCGAATTCTGTATTTGTAGAACCTTTTACAATCCGCACGTGTTATTTATAATATACAGAGTCCAACTCACCCAATACTTTTCTTACTTTATATGGTGATGGGTTACTTTTAGGAGTCTTGGGTGCCAGTGAGCTTCCCATCAATCCCATATCAAGCATTTACTAGCATTTGTTGACTTTTTTTATTTAATCAGTTTGTTGCCAAACCTTTGGAATGTACTAGGTTGTTGACAATTGTTCTTCTGTCCCACAATATCATAATTGATTGTCTTAGTAATGGCTTCAAAACTACTCCACATGGAATTTGCCACTTAACATATCAGTGGCGACTGATTCTTCCAAGGATTTATATCGGAAAATATTTTCTGAAACCTATAAAATTCAATTGAATTTTACTAAGTAATTGTTACAAGCTAAGAGTTACTTAAGTTGCTATGCAACTCTAGTAATGAAGTCCGATTGAGGGATCAATAGAAAAATTAGGCAAGTATGAAATATTAAAGCTGTTGCAAGTGAATGTGCAGAGTATACCAATGAATCACAGATTTACAGTCTACTGTAAATGTCTCCTAAGATTTATCGTATTTTCTTTAGAATAACTGTGTCACTGTGTGTGTGCATAGAGAGAGAGAGAGGAACTAATGATTATTGAAGTTAAAAGTGAATGATGAGGAATCTAGAAATTGGAATGGTTGAAGTTTTAGTTCCATTAGTATGTCCCTGAAGATGGAATACTGATTGTTTCAGAGATAATTACTGTGAATGTGTGGATGAAATATGATAACCTAGGCGTAAAATATTATAGGGCTTCCACTGAACTCTCATTTGAAATTATGACCAGGGCCTCAAGTAATAGATGCATCCATTTCTAAAATTGAAATTAAAGTTTTACTAGTATAATTTATTAGTTCATGCCTCTTTTACCTGCGTAATACACTGACCTTTTTCTAACCCCAACTGGGGCAAACCCTTATTCTTATGCAACTTCCAAGTATATTTCATATTCTAGGTGTACCCATTGTATTAACTATCAATGGTACATGATTTATTCGTCATTGAATATTCCTTCATGCTTGTATTCTGTTCTGATTTGATTGATTTCAAATCTTACTAGATTAAGTGGTGGATATTTACCTAATTTCTTTCTGGCCTTGGTCACTTCACTCGTTTATGGAACTAACTTGACTATTTATTCTTGTAGGTGCTCGATTTGCTTGGCTGAATATCATAAAGAAGATGTATTGCGTATACTCCCTTACTGTGGCCATTACTTCCATATAAAGTGCATAGATATATGGCTGCTGCAGCATTGCACTTGCCCAGTTTGCCGGATTTCATTGCGTGAGACTAGTGAGAAGAAACGATCCATGCAGTTAATGTCAAGTTCTAGATCTCATCTTGACACCAGTTTACAAGCTATAAGCCCACGTCATTGTAGATATTTATCAACGACTCCTGAAATTCATAGACCAGATCCTATTCAAGAGGACCAGCTGTTGTCTCGTGTTGGAATCCAAACAACAAGAGGTAACACGCAGTTAGCTGAAGAAAATGGTATTATAAAAGATTCCACCGACAAGCATATAGAGAGCCCATCATTTCCATAGGTGTTGGTCTAATTCTCCAGCATCCTTTAGGGCTTCCATGTTATCAATGTGAAAGTGTTGCCAACCAAGTACATTGCTTGATTTTTTTGGAGTCTTTGAAGCTGGTTTTTCTCCTCTTATGGGCTATAGCTTTGTACATATCTTCTCTGTCGATTTAGTTCAAGGTTATGGGAGGATTGATGATTGCCAAGCACTGCAAAGACCTGTTAGCAAGCACCTTCTGATATTTGATGTCCACAAGTTCGGCTAGGTGGCAGTACTGTATTTGGATATCACGTCTGTCTATGACCACGTAGCATGTATGCTCTTAGCACAACATCAGTGACAATTCCATTAGTTTCCTTGTTCGAGAGTAGCAATTCTAGTACAAGTTTAGGTGCCATCGTTTTTCATCATTGTGCTGACTGTGTTCAGTTTATAGTTCTGATTGACAAATAGGATTTAGAAGTAACAATGGTGTACATAGCAATGTATAGATATGTGCATAGATGGAAATTGTGAATCCCTTGAATCTGCCATGCCTTACACGAGGCTAATGACTCTGTTTTGCTGTGCACTACTGAGGTTGTCGTAATGTTGCAAAACCTGTACAAACCTTCTTATACAATGTCCCCTTTTATTAAGAATGCTTTGGTATCGGAAGTTTAGCAAGCTTCTTCGGTCTTGTCCTCCCGTATTGATCGTTGTCTATTTATTACTACAAAGGATGAGAAAGTTGCAGAGGCACAAGCAGCTTATCTTTTCTGGTGTCAGCGTGCAAAAATCAAATGGGATGCCTTAGGTGACTCTCATTCTCGCCCCCTTTTTTCGTTGGTTCAATCTAGAAGATGGCAGAATAAGATTTTTTGTTTGAGTCTGGCGTTTGGCATCGTGACTTTGAAAGTATAGTGTCTTTATCTTTGGATTTTTATAAGGATCTCTATTCAGTCTAGACTCTGCTACTTCTCACAGTTCTGATTGGTGGGAAAGTTTACAATTACCTTCGCTCTCCCTTGCACAACAACAATCTCTTATGGTTCCTTTTTCTGCAGAAGAGATTCAAAATGCAATTTTTGGTATTGATGATAATAAGTCTCCTGGTCCAGACGGGTTCCCTTCCGCCTTTTCAAGTCTCACTAGTCTTGTGTTGGTCCATCGGTAGTTTCGGCGGTTCAACACTTCTTTGCTCATGGCTATATGTTAAAAGAATGGAATCACACCTTCCTTGCCTTACTTCTGAAGGTGGGAGATCCGGAAGTCATCACTCAGTTCCGGCGATAGGACTTTGCAATGTGATTTATAAATGCGTTGCCAAGTGCCTCACTGTCGGCTTCGATTAGTTTTGCCAAGTTTGGTGGATGACTTTCAAAATGCTTTTGTCCTAGGTCGTCTTTTGTCGGACAATTCGTTAATAGCTCATGAAGTTATTTCGTATATGAATAACTCAAAAGCTAAAAAGAGATTTTTCGCGGCCATCAAGTTGGACATGAACAAAGCTTACGATAGAGTTCGGCGGGATTTTCTGTTTAGGTTGCTTTAAGAGTATGGGTTCCCGCCTTATTGGATTCACATCATCGGTCAATGTGTTTCAACTATCAGGTGCTGGTTAATGGGAATCCTTCGCCGGCTTTTCAGCCTCACATCATCTGCTATGCTTCGAAAGGCCGAAAGAGAGTCTTATTCGAGGGATTACTATTTCTCGAGGTGCTCCTTCGATTTCTCACTTGTTCTTTTAGATGATTTCTTGTTATTTCTACAAGTTTCTCCCGAGATATGTGACAATTTAACAGCTCTTTAATCGGAGTTTTGCGGACTGTTAGGTCAAGTTATAAACTTACAAAAGTCATTTGTTTAGTTCAGTCCAAAAACTTCGAATGATTATCGAGATTACCTTACTCATAGTCTGAAGCTGCAGTGCAAGCCATCTCTTGGATCATACTCTTTAGGTATTCGTAGGATGAATAGTTTCAATTCTGCTCTTTTAGCCCGTCCCGACGTATTCACCATCACCCTCAGCTTTTGGTCTCTAAGTTACTTACGACCAAGTATCCTTCCCTTCGCTCTTTTCAGACTCGCACAATTCCGCGTACTTCTTGGGGTTGTCGCAGTCTACTGACAAGTTTGTTGACTCTAGCAGACGAGATTGCATGGAAGGTCGATTCAGGATCTCAGGTTCAGATTCTTGAGGATAATTGGGTTTCAGGGGAACCTTTGATTTTTCATCCAACCTCTGGTGAGATGGTTCTTCCGACTTATGTTTCTTCTATCATTAATTCGCGCTCTTACGCGTGGGATTCGACTTTGGTTCACCAACTGTTTGATACTTCTACGGCGCTTCGTATTCTGGCTTTGGAGCGTTCTAGTCAGTCGATGGATGATTTTGTTTACTTAAAGGTCTCTTTTTCTACTAAGTCAGCTTACGCTATGTTGCTCAATCAGCAAGTTGGCTCTGCAGTTGCTTTACAATCCCGATCACCTGGTTGAAGCACTTTTGGGGACTGCCCCTTCTGTCAAAATTGCAGTGTTTTTGTTGGAAGCTTGTCAATAATGCTTTACCTCTTACTGGTATCTTACAGCTAAGGGGTATTCCGGGACTCGACTTGTGTATTTTGCCACAAAATCACCTGTTTCATTTACTTCTTATCTCTGGGCTTCTACTCCGATTGCCTCTTCGGTTCAGCTCTTGCATGACAAGCCATTTATTAATTGGTTTGTCGATATGGTCTCAGACTTTCATTGCGCTAAAAATTGGTATGGTTTGGTCTCATTTGTTTCCTTGTGTTGGGATGTTTGGTTGAAACGTAACAATAAAATCTTTCTCCAAGCTGTGTTGTCTCCAGCTGTGATCTTTCATATAATGCAGGACTTGATTTTTAGGAGTTCTTCGGCTCGAGAATTCGGTTCACTTATTTACTCTTCTGTGAGACCTCCTCATGGAGCCTTGGTAAACTCTGTATCTTGTTGTCTTCAAGGTTCCCCTTCATCTACTTTCGACGCCTGCTTAATTTTTTATGGGGCCTGGAATGTTCAGAATAATAGTACAGGGGTAGGTTGGATCTTTCGAGATGTTGGTTTGGACTGTGTGATATGTGGTGGTTCTCGGGCTTTAATTTTTTCATCAGCTCTCCATTCTGAGCTACAAGCTTGTTTACGGGCCCTTCGAGCTCAAATCGTCGTGGATTCAGGCGCTTGCTAATCTACACTGATTACTCGATTTTATTCACTCTTCTTCGGGATGGAAGTGATCGAGACATTTCTTGCCTATATGGCTCCTTCAAGATATTAGGACTTTGCTTTCGCGATTTTCTGCTTGTGAGCTTCGCAAGGTTCCTCATCAGTGGATTACTCCGGCCCACTAGTTGGCGGTTGAGGCTCGTCGTCGGCGTGTGCTTTTATGGTCCTTTTAGTCTTTAGTTTTTGTTTGTTTGTCTTTGCTTTGTTAGAACTTCTTGAAAAAAAAAACAAAAAAAATAAAAAAAAATAAGAATGCTGCTTTTCTTCTATATAAACTATGGGATGGACATTGATTTTTATGCATTGTAAAGGCTGATCCAGCAAACAAGATATTCGATTTATTATGATAATTTCGCTGAACTTACAAACCCTTTATTCATTTATTTATTGGAAAAATAGAAAAAAAATAATCCCACCTTTGTCAATTTAGCTCAAAACAATCCTACCTTTCAAAAATCCAGAAACATCTCACCTTATAATACCATATTCTCAAAACAAACCTTTTAACCTAAAACTTGTTAAACAGGTTAATTTTTTATTTATTAATACCTTTTAACCTAAAAATCCAGACACGTATTCCTTTTTAGGAAGTTTTTTTTTAGTTGACACGTTTTTTTTGGGTAAATTTTTTACCTTGCATTTACATGCAACCTCACTTGTTTTTTCATTCTCTCTCACTCTCTCTCCTCTCCTTAATATATGTGCCTAAATCAAACGTGTCAACTAAATAGAAACGGAAGAAGTAATTTTTTATTTTTTTTTAATAATTCTATTCTTTTTCTCTCTCTTCCCACCTCACCATCTTCTTCTTTGGATAACCCACCATGACCACCACCATCCCTCCATCACCACCACCACATTGCAACCACAAAATCCTAACCCTTCTTGCCCCCACACGTCCCCACTCCACCAAACCTCCATGGCTCCATCCCGATACCAAAACCCCAACCCCACCTAATTCCTAAAATATCATCCCTTCCCACTTGATTGCCCACGCCGCCGAACCAAAAGCCCACCTCGAAAACTGATGAATCGGACTAAAAAAAAACCATCCTAGTTCGAAACCCACCACACCGGACTAAACTCTCCCCATTTTCGAAACACTTACGCACCGAACCAAAATCCTACCCTACAGGCACTTCGAAACCCACCACCACTGTTTCCCATATTAATTCAAAATTATATCAAAATGTGCAACATTAATCAATTGATTAAACGGATCAAAGTACAGTACTTAAAATCAAATTCATGCCAAATATTATTACATTGATCAAAATTTACCAAAATAAAATCAAAATATGAGAAAATCACCTTGATTTGGAAGAAGAAAGAAGAGGCACAAGAGAAAAAGGAGGGACATAACAGTCTATTTCTTCATCATTGATGGTTTACCAACTGGAAGATGTTCTAGTACTACTCTAGTAGCTTCCACACTCAATCACACACATACACACCTGATAGTTTCTCTCTCTTCCTTGATTTCTAATAGCTGGAAAGTAGAGCTGCTATCGACGGGGAAGGCAGGGTGGGGGGTGGGGGGGGGGGAATGCTCCGGTAGTGAAGATTGCCCAGGTGGGGAATCAGGAAGGAGAGTTTTTTTTTTAATTATTTTTCATTTTATTTTTTTAAATAATTAAAAAAAAACCAATTAAAATGAGACACGTGGCAAGTAACCCATTTCAACCAGTCACCAATTTGACAAACCAGTTAAAGGATTGTTTTGAGAAGATGGGGGGTGAAGGTGGGATTATTTCGGAATTACTCAAAGGTGAGATTGTTTTGAGCAGAAATGTCAAAAGTGGAATTATTCTTTTTCATTTTTCCTTATTTTAATTTTTCACATTGGCAAAAAACATACATTAATCCAGAGGACTTCACAGAGTATAACAAGAAGCTTAATTGTATAGAAGACATTTTTCTAGTTGGCCTTGATTTGTTGATGCCACCTTACTCGTAAAAAAGTAAAATTAAACTCTGAATAACAAGACAAATCTAACAATGTTTTATTTGAAGACATTTTCCCATTTGTTTTAATAATAATTTCTGCAGAGTAGTGTGTGAATAGTTTTTAAAGTCCGTAAGTGAAAATCAGGTAAATGAACATGAGAGCTTGTTACGAGTTCCCTCTAGGTTTTCCTTGGGAGGGTTTGTCTAGTTCATACTAAGGTTTCCTTTGATCTAAAGGTTTTCTTTTGATTTTTGGCTCGTTGTTCTTGATTTTGATCAACAATGGCATCTACTTCATCAGATGCTCTTGAGGGTGACTGAATTCCATATTTATAAATCACTGAAATTTCCGAAGAGATGAATAAAAAGACTCTCGATAAGGATGATGATGTTAGGGATAATAGTTCGAAAGAAGATGCGATTGAATGGAAAGAGGAGGCAAAAGAAGACGAGGAGGCAAGGGTGGAATAAGGGCTTGTAGGGAAGT